TTGTCGATGTTGGGGTTATGATTGCAGCACCAGTACCTTCATTTGATTTAGATGCATCTGTGTATATATGTGTATAGTCCTTGTAGTTGTGAAGCATATCGTTGAAGGCGGATTTCAATAACTGTGGGTTTGTTGAATGTTTGTCGAAAGAAATGAGGCGGGTTAGGCACTGAGGATTTTTTATTTGCCATGGAGGAATTAAGGACAATTGGGAAGAAAAGCATTCTGGGAGCGTGTAGTTTAGTTGATTTAAATAGCTTCTAATCCTTGCGTAGAAAGGTTTGGCAGTTCTTGGCTTATTTATGAAGAGATTTGGAAACTTTTCTGTAAAACAATTGTTAATGGTAGGGTTTTTTGGGTTAGACCTGATTTTTGCGGCATATGCTACGCTTTGTCTTCTAAGGACGGTTCACCAACTTCAAAATAAAGACTTTCGATTGGTGTTGTGCGAAAAGCTCCAGATATTATGCATAAAGATAGGTTGTGAAGACTGTCAAGTTTTTTTAGCAGTGTCTTAGTGGCTGTAGAATACACAGTAGATCCATAATCTAATTTTGATCTGATTAATGTTCTGTATAACATTAAAAGTGTTTGGCGATCCGCACCCCAGTAGGGGAGTTATTTTGTACAATTTGTCACTTTTATCTGCTCATCTGTACTCCAGTAGTCATGCAGTGATGGCAGTTTTACTAACCCCATCCAAGCAATTAATCCGAGAAACTCTCTAATCTCAGACTTTGTGGTGGGAATCTAAGCATACAAACGGGAGTTTGGTGTAGAGCCCTAGGTTATAACAGTGTCGCATATTTTTTTGTCTCGTTGCAAATAAGGTATATTACTTTATCATCTACTACAGCATCAAAAAAGTTACCTGGTGTGCAATTCGCCAACAGTGCTGCTATCTCGGGTTTCACTCCCGATGGAACAGAGAAAGGATCTATTGACATATAGTTTCCAATTGTGGGCCCCCATAATAAATCTTCGTTTGACTGTGAATCTTCTACAGCTAATGATGTCAAATTCGGCAATTCTTGCTCATTATTTGGCATTTTTTTGTTAGTTGTATATATATTTTCTACAGTTTCTGAATCTGATTACGTTTCTGATTCGGACTCATACTGGGTTGATTCATCGCTATCTGTGCTCTCAAACGGTTCCCAATCATCTTCGTCTGACATTTATTCAAAATTGTCTGCATATTTTTGTAACTGTTCGTTTGTCAGTTTAAGTTTACGATGAGGCATTCTGAAATAATAATAATAATACCTATTTTAGAAAGGATAACTTCAAAATAATATTTGGCACTTACATTATTTTACAATCCTGAACACAAGGCAGAAAAAAAGACTTATAATTTGTTATACTACACACAGTTTCCATAGATTGATATAAAAATTGCAGGTCTTTTATTGATCTCAAAAGATTGTATGCTATTGTCGATTTTCATATTTTATTTAGAAAATTTATACAAGTTGGTGTTAACAGGAAAATTTATGAAAATTAATTTATGCATTTTGATTATTACTCTATAAAATAATATTAATTATTAAGGAAAAAATCTAATTTTTAGGAATTTGGAATACACTCACAGAGGCTGGAGTCGAGCTTTGCTTTTTTGAATTTTAATTTCTCAAACTACACCTTAACTGAATTTATAGAAAAGACAACATATACGTACGATGATATTGTTTATCAGTTCGCATTTTCGTCAGTTGGTAATACAAGAAGTAAGTTATTGATTTATTTTAAAATATTAATTCTGCTTCATGTTTCTATACCACTCTGCTTTTTGTGTTTTTAATGCTTGTATATTAAACTTGTGATTGTGACAGCAGCTTCGTGCATTATTTTTCAGCACATTTTTACCAAATCACTTTTTTGAACTCCTAATCAACCATCGATTAAAAAGTAGCCTATTGGTAGTTTCCATATGTCATCTAAGCTATTAAATAAAAATACAATGGCTTCTTTTGCTTTGACTTCAGAAGAATCGCTTTGAGGGTTACTTCCTAGGGCAACATATCTACAATTAAAGTTTTCAATGATGTAAATAGATAATATATATTATAATACTCTAGATTTGCTAATAAAGACTTGGCTAACCTACTCTAAAAACTATTCACCATCCCATTCCATTTTCTTATGTACAGACATATCATCAACCATCAAACCATATAATACATGATTTCCTTTTATCTTTAGGTTCAATTACTTTTTGTTTTAACATCTTCATTGCTTCTTTTTTATACTCAGGCTCACAAGCTGCTACCTGATACCATTTTTAAGTTCGTGGGGGAGGCAACATATTAAGAAAAGTATTTCTGACATACAAGTAAGCTTTTGCTGAAAAGAAATTAAGATTGAGAGAAATGCTTTTTAGCTTTTTAATTCCGGTGGATATGTTTAAGTGCTGTTAAATTTAAACAGTTGTTTAAAGATAGTTTTTGCAAAGGCTTCAGAGATCTTAATAAAATAAAAAGCAATAATCTAAACTTGATCCACTAACTACAAACAATATAAAATAATAAACTGCTTATACATACTAAAGCTAAATAGATCACTGTTTAATTTTCTTTTGAAATAATTTGTTTACTACCACTTTATAGCCCAAATGTCTTCGCTTTTTCAAGGGACGTCCTAAGGTAGTTTCCTCTGAAATTTTTACTGAAGTCTTTATGGTAAAAGATTCAATCATTTTTATATTTATATTTTCACATTTAAAACCTGTTGTTTTGTCTGAGAATGTTTCCTTTTGCTGAAAATTTTCTAGTTTTAACTTGCTTATTTAACCGGTTTGGAAAATCGAAAGTACTGGGAATAGCATCTTTTTTAAGTTCTTTTTTGAACTCCAACCGCGTGTAATAAACGAATTTGCAGAAAAGTTTTAAATTGGAACATAACACTTATAAAAAGTTTGCAAACACCTGTAAGTATTTCTAGTTTCTAATGTTTTCTGCCGAAAACTGGCGCTACGCATAGCTGCGCAAAGCAATTTAGTTTAGCTTCACTCTTCGGAATGGTGGTATAGCTATACTATAAGCTTTAATGGTGTAAGGCAGTGTGGTCTAACCTCAGGCACGCGGGCCGGATGTGACCCGAGGCTCGTTAAACTGCGAGCTCCGCAAACACTTTTCAAAAATATTGCTATTGATAAGTTTTACCTGTTCCAACCCTGTCTTACTTTCCGTAATCTTAAGAAAGTAGTTAACCTTAAACACCCACTCCCGATGAGATGGCAGTTAGTTTTAGGCGCGATCCTTTGAAGATAAAAAGATGGCCAAAACTTTTGAATGTGTTTCAGTTTTCCATCAAACTGTATCTAGAAGAGTTGATGAGCTGAATACTCATGTATTTAAAAAAATGGTGGGCACAGTTCGTGATTGTTTGTACTACTCCTTAGCCCTGGACAAATCTCTTGATATTACTGACAAAAATGAGCTATTAGTTTTTGTTAGATGCATCAGTTAAGATTTTTCTGTAACTGAGGAACTTCTAAAACTGCACCACATGGAGGACGGGACCAAAGGTATAAATATATTTGAAGCAGTTAGTGACGCTGTGAATAAAATCGGCCATTTTCAAAAGTGCTCTAGCGTTTGCACCGACGGAGCAAAAGCAATCTTCTTCTTAAGGTTCCATCTTCTAACGAAGGTTGGATATCAACATGGCAATTCTTATTTTACTTACAGCAGCTCTAAATAGTTGGCTAGAGCTCAGACTAAACCATTCCCTTAGATTTCGTAGCCAGGAGGTTCGTCTTCTTCCTACATCTCTTTTACCTTTTATTTTGCCCTCTATAATCAAACGTAGTAGCCCATAACGAGGACCTCTTAATATATGACCGAAATATTCAAGTTTCCGCCTCTTAATTGCCTGTACAATTTCTTCCCTCTTATTAACCCTATCAAGGACTTCAATATTGGTAATTTTGTCTACCCATGCTATTCGTAGCATCCTTCGATAACACCAACGCTCAGAAGCTTCCAATTTCTTAATCTCCAGTTGTTTCAATGTCCATGCCTCAGATCCGTAGAGCAAAGTTGTAAAAATGTAGCAGCGCAATAACCTTATCCTTAGATCCATTCTTAGGTCTCTACTACACAATAGATGTTTCATTTTTACAAATTTTGCCCTTGCTATTTCTATACTAAAAGCAAAAAAAAAAGCTAAAAGCAATGACGGGACGCATAACGGGATTGGCTGGACTTTTGTGGGAAAATGGTGTTAACTGTGTTATGTTTCATTGCATTCTCCATCAAGAGGCTCTCTGCGGAAGATAAGTACATTCAGAGATACGCTGATTGAGTGCAGGTAAATGCGTTAGAAATTTTTTTCTTTAAGAAAAAGATCTTACTGTTTTTTTGAAACGAAAATTGTTTTTAACACGGACGTATTTATAACAAAGCTTAAGAACAAAACATTTCTTCATGAACTGACTTTTCTAACAAACATTTCCTCTCACTTAAACACATTAAACCTACAACTATAGGGGAAAAATAAGACAGTATCACAGTTGGTTAGTCAAATTGAGACATTTAGCAAAATACTTGATCTTTTCGAGAACTGCATGAAAATAAACGACCTCACACATTTTCGATGGTCGATTTTTCGAGGTTTGCAAAAGTTCTTACAGAAATAAAAAGAGAATTCGATATAAGGTTTTCGGAATTTAATGCACTAAAAGATCTTGAGCTTTTTAACAATCCAACGGAAGTCAATATGCAGAACCAATCAGCAGAATACCAATTAGAGCTGTGCGAACTAAAATCCGATTAGTTTTTTCAAGCAAAGAAAAATGAAGACAATGTAAACTGTAAACCATAAATAAATACATGTAAATAATATTTCGTTTGTATATTATTTTTTAAAATAAACTTTTTTGAACGAGTCAAGTTCTACGGCCCTTCATAATAATTTCAAAATTAATACGGCCTGCAACGTCTAAAAGGTTGGACCACACTGGTCTAATGTATCCACCAAGTAATATAATTATGTTATAGATATCAATCTAACCAGTTCATTTCATTTTACAAGAGGAAGATGTTACACATTTCAATCACTAAACCAATCAGAGCTATTTTCTCCAGTCGGTGGCTTTTTCTTTTATCTAAGTCATGATCAAGCGAAACAAGGTGGGGGTTACTCTGACTCAAGTTCCCCTGGTTATCAGCTTTACTTACATGGTCCAAATGAAGTGTTAACCTGTAAGTATTTAAATTATAATTTAAAAATGTATTAATATAAATTATCTAATAGATAGTAATAGTGAAGGAAGTAGTTTTATTGAGTATCTTGACTTGGACTCTTCAGAAGAGATGTACGTAAAATTTGAAATACAACAATTTAAAATGCATCCGTCGAGTGACGAAGATTGCGTTCCCGATGAACATTACAGCAAATCGCAGGTAAGTAATAATATAAGAATATTTTCTTTTATGTCATTCCAAAGAACATCCTAGGAAAGCTTAAACAGTTAGACCTTAGTATTTTTATGACTATTGAAAAATCAGTATTCCGAGCCTCTTCCCATATCAGTAAGCCCACCTATGAAATTTGCAGTTTAAGTTAATTTCCATAAACAAATTATACTCTGGATTATTTTTATAAGATCTCAACTTAATTAATATGGCATTTTTATTATGCAGACGACGACGCATTAATCGCCGAAACAGAAGACGAGTTCCAAAGATTAATACAAATCTTCGATACAACAGCTAAGAAATATAATATGATAATATCAGCAGAAAAAAACCAAATGTATTACACCATCTAAATACCTACTCACATGACATGACATATGAGTTTTAACCTTGTTTAGGCCTGAGCCTCTTCAAGAAATGGGTAACTCCTTTTTTTTACGGAGTTATGCGGGTGTGATAAACGTCAATTAAATGATGCACGAGCTAAAAATTAGTGGACTACTAAGAAGCAGGGGGAAAAGAAGGTGACTTATGTGTGTGATCGATAATAATCGATAAGAACGCACAAGAAGTGGGATCTGCCTAGCATGCCAGTTGAGGTACTTCATGGGTTACCAGCCATACAGCAGGAACGGCTCTTTATCAACGTTTTTGGCCCGCAGTCTTTATCTGCGATATTGGATGGAGAATGTTTCAAGAATTTTAAAATACTCATCAGAAAGTTCATGTCCAGTGTTATGTAGAAGTTTTGCTGGAGGAAACGGAACTTTCTTAGTGGGATACCTGGTGAGTATTTGCCCTCTATGATTGCAAGTTGCAAGGAGTCTTTAATGTTCGTTTGGCTCGTTGTTAGAGCCAGCAATGGTTCTTAGGACATACTTCCTGCTGAGGGTTAGAATTATGTCCTTGATTGGTGTGATGTTAGCCAATATGTGTATGTGGGCTGATGGATACGGCCAATATTTTCTCATACAGTATCTTGTATTTTGCTGAAAACATCGACGATCTGCAGGAGCTAATCAATAGAGTTGGCATGGAATGCACAAATTGGGGACTGTCGATAAATATCGATAAAACTAAATACATGGTGACCAGTAAAGTGGATATCGGCGCAACCCACCTGATATTAAACCAACAACCGCTGCAGAGAGTTCAGAGATTCAAATACCTTGGATGTTGGATTACCCAAAATCTAGATCAATCCTTTGAAATTCGATGTAGAATTGAACAGGCAAGAAACTTATTTCAAAAATTCAAACCTCTATTATCCAATAACTTATCAAATTTGGAAATCCGTGAAAAGTTTACAAGATGTTACGTGTGGTCTGTACTTTTGTATGGATGTGAAACTTGGACTTTAAACGCCGATATCATGAATAAAATCGAGGCGTTTGAGATGTGGTTGTATCGAAGGTTACTAAAAATTCCATGGACTAGCAGAACCAGAAACGAAGAAGTTCTTCGAAGAATGGGACATCAACGAACTCTATTAAATATTATTAAGAGGCGTAGACTAGAATATCTTGGACAAATCAGAGGACCAAGATATGAGTTCCTTCGGCTAATTCTCAACGGTAAAATCAAAGGAAAGAAATGGATAGGACGGAAGAAACTCACTTGGTTGAGGAATTTGCGGCAGTGGACAGGTTTGACAGCGGACCAATTGCTACACGTAGCGCAAGACCGAGATCAGTATAACAATATTATAAGCATGGTAGTCGCCGACGTTCCGTAGGGATATGGCACTCTAAGAAGAAGAAGATCTTAGAATTCTACGTTCTGTAGTTGCGATGGCATTCAGTTGGTGGCTCTTGAGAGAAATGTAAATATACTAATATAATTAGTTATATTATTACCCACTACGGTAAAAAATCAAAATTAATGGAAAAATAATCAAGCAGGAAGCAAGGTTTAAATATCTGGAAATAGATATAACTAGTTAAGGAGATGTTGAAGAAGAAGTACGATAACAAAGCTTAAAAGCAAGTAAAGCGGCGGGATCTTTTAATGACACAATCTGGAAGAACAAACACCTAAGACAAGACACAAAAACAAGAATCTATAAAGCAGCAATTAGACCTATATTAACATATGCGGAGGAGACAAGACCTGACACATCTAAAACCAGACGACTACTAGAAACAACAGAGGTAAAAATATCGACGAATATCAGGGAAAAGTCTGTTGGATGGGGAGAGAAGCGAAAACATAAGAAGAGCATGCAATATAGAAGACATAAATGGATGGATGACAAAACGAAAATAGGACTGGAACGAACACATCAGTATAATGGCAGAGGATACAACGTCACCAAATGGACGAAGAAGTATTGGCAGACCAAGAAAAAGATGGTGCGACAATTTAAACAATTTAGGAGGCTAATATTGAAGAAGAAACAGGCTTTAAAGCCTATATACAAGGAGGAGGAAGAAGAAGACGAAGCATTTTAATTAATATTTATTAAAAAAGTTTCCCTTATAGTTTTTTATTTATTTTCAAAACATAAAAAAAATTCACTAAACCCTGGTTAGTGTAGGAAAATGGCAAACAGAATTGACTCAGTGTCATCGAATTGGAGTATGTACGACAAAAGAGAAAATTTACTGTAGGAAGCACTGTATGAAGATAAATGGATAATCGTGAATTGAAATTACACTTACCGTTTGATGGAGACAACCGCATGCAACATGAACCACAACGAAAAAGACCTTTATTTTCGATATTTAAACCAGCTAAGGATAAAAAAGAGTGGAAATATTTGCCGAAGCGAAAGCGAAGAGTGCCAAGCTAAAATGGTACTTAATTGACAAGTTCAATTTGGTCTTATTTTCTATAATTTCTATTTTCTCCTGACAGAAAAGACTATTTCATCGAAGACCCACATTTCAACTTTTCTTAGACAGTAAGCTGGGTTGTTGGACAATAGGAACTAACTTCTTTGTTAAAAGGAAGGGTTTCTATTTAAGGACAAGGAACTTACTGTGAGCTATTTCGTTGTTGCGAACAGGCATGACAAATCGCTCGTTACTTATGGATTATTTTTAAGGCATCTAGCAAAGTATATAGACATGGGTGGCGTGAAAATAATTTTCGAAGAAGAATTATTAAGAAAATTTTAAACATGCTTCAAGAGGCTCGTATTCGCTACGTCCAGATGCGTTAATTTTTTTAAAGATGCACCTCAGTGGTATAATATAGACAAGGATGCTACAATATTGCTTAAATGCTTGAAGCGCAAGCTATCGAAAAGGATTATCTTTAATAACTAAACTGTGCAATAAAATTTTGTTTCTATTTACGCGCAGCCACTTTTTGCTTGTACCTTATATGTTAACTAAAAAAATAACTACATACATAGGTCAAGTCCCAAACATGATCTTTTTTTCTTATTTACCTAAATTATTAGTAGTATTTGTTGTTTTTAGTGTGAAGATTACTGCATCGGCCAAGCAATAGTTAGTAACACTAATTGTACAGTCCCTTGGCTAAGATTACCGCCAAACATGAGTTTTCCTGAATGTGACGATTTTTTATCGGTTCGAAACTCAATTCAATATTACATAAAGTAAGCACATTTATTTACTTTTTGTTAGATCTAAGTAATGATAATATTTAAGTTATATTAGTATTAATAATAAATAATACATTAATTAAGTATGAATAGAAGTTTAATAATATATAAGTATATGCCAGTACGTTCACAATTTTGTATAGCTGCACCAATATTGAATATAGAAAATACAATTATTTATAACATATGTGAAATGTACATCTACGCAGTTTAAATTCAGGTAAGGCCTCTTCACAAGTGAAGCACTCTTCAGTATTACCCCAAAAATGCAGAGACCAGAGCAAAGACGTTTTCCTATGCTTTGTTTATTAACAAAAAGCGTTCGATTGTCTCAAACTTACAAAGCTAACAAAAATCGGCTACAAGGTAGAATGCTAAACCTTCTTCTTCTTTGGGTGCCGTGTCCGTATTCAGACTTTGGCCATCATCATGTTTACAATTTCCTGAAACCTTTTTCTGTCGGCTGCTGCGCGAAATAATTCTTTTACTGTGGAACCACACCATTGTCTAATATTACGCAGCCATGAAAGTTTCTTTCGACCAATCCATCTCTTTTCTTCCACTTTTCCTTGTATTATAAGGCGAAGTAGATGGTATTTAGGTCCTCTAATTATATGGCCGAAGTATTCTGTTTTTCTCCTCTTTATGGTGTTTATGAACAGACGTTCTGAATTGATCATTTGAAGAACATCTTCATTGGAAGTGTGCGAAACCCAAGATATCTTTAATATTCGTCTATAGCACCACAATTCGAATGCTTCTAACTTATTTAGCATTATGGTTTTTAACGTCCATGTCTCACAACCATACAATAGGATGGATCACACATAACATTTCAATGATAAACCAGAATTACTTAAGATTCATTAAAAACCTTTACTTAAATCGAACTCCATCGGTAAAGAGCAGAAAGAAACTACACAAAACTTTTCAATACAGAAGGATGTAAGACAAGGTTGTGATTTGTCTCCCTTAATATTCAATCTTTATTCTGAAGTAATTTTTAAAAAACCTTTGAGAGATACTGGGTATGGTACGAAAATTAATGGGCAGGTTGTTCTTCTTCTTACGGTGTTTTATCCTTAAGGACATTGGCCATTACATTTTCCCATTTAATCTTATTTGTAGCAGCCCTGAATAGTTCTATGGAGGTCATGTTCGTCCATTGCCGTAGGATTTTAAGCCAAGAGTGGCGTCTTCTTCCTGGTCCTCTTTTGCTATTGAATTTGCGTTCGATTATAAGTTGGAGCAGTTCATACTTTTGATTTCTTATGATGTGACCAAAATATTGTGTTTTCCGTTCTTTTATTATAAGCATAAGCTCTTTTTCTTTATTCATCCTCCGCAAGACTTCCGCATTTGTCGTATGGCTCATGTAGGATATTCTGAGCATTTTACGGTAACACCAGAGTTCGAATGCTTGGATTTTTTTTTGTGTTGCTTCTGTCATTGTCCAGACTTCAACACCATAGAGCAAGGTGGAGAAAACATAGCACTTAAGTATTCTAGTCCTCAATGAGATGCCCAGCTGGCGGTTGCATAGAACTTTTTGCATTTTGTAAAACATTGTACGTGCCTTTTCCAGGCGTATTCTTATCTCTAGTGAGTGGTCCCAAGTTTCATCAAGATTACTTTCAAGGTACGTTGTTCTTGTTACTCTTTCCAGATCTGTTCCGTCGACATTGACCTTTACCCTTCTGTTTTGGTGCTTGTTAATGACGATCGTTTTTGTCTTCTTTGTATTCAATTTAATTCCAAATTCTCTACAGGCTGTCGTTACTCGGTCCATTAAGCGTTGCAGGGCTTTAGCATTATCTGCCAGTATGACAGTGTCATCAGCATATCGCAGGTTATTTATACATTGCCCGTTTATAATTATACCAACCGAGGTGCCTTCCAAAGCTTTCTGAAATATCTTCTCGGAGTAAACAAAGAGTTAAATAATAAAAGCCAACTTCATATAATGAACGCCTAAAGAAGAGAAACAAAATTGCTGCAAATAGTGAAGCGAAGGAAAGTCTACCTAGATCACATATTTAGGAATTCCAAGTATCAATTTTTAAAATTAATTATGGAGAAAAAGGTTAAAGGAAAAAGTGGCAGTGGAAGAAGTTAATATTCGTTACTAAAGAATATAAGGTAATGAACAAACTTTAATGCTCATGAACATTTCAGAGTGTAAGTTATCAGCAGAAACAAATAGAGAACTCTAAGAATAACTTCAGTATATAAAATGGGATGTCATTAGTATTAGTGCGGCTAAATTAGTAATGTCATTTATAAAGATAAGGAAGAGTGGAGGATCCAATACTAAACCTTGTGGTATTCTACATGCAATGCTTTTGTAGCTAGAGTCACTATCATTTGTTCATATCTATTTATATCATATCTAACTAGTTATTTCCTATTTCTCAAGTAAAATTGGAACCAATTCAAAGAAATACCTTGAATGCCGAAGAAATTTAGTTTTTTATCAAAATAATATGATTTATACAATCAGAAGCTTTGGCATAGTCACAAACAACAGTGGCAGTTTAAAGATTATTGTTTAGTGCTTTTTACAAGTGATATAAATAATGCAAAAGCTCATCACAAAATAAAATTGGTAATTTCATCGCGAAAATAGAAGTAAACAAACGACGAACAAGAATTACGTATAATCGCAAGTAAGACGTAAATGCCACAGAATATGCACAAGGAACAAACTAGATATAAAATTACTGCACTAGAATATAATTTTTAAATAATGCTTCCATAAAACATTTTGTTTGTTTTAGCCGTAGTATGAGAAGAACCTATTTAGAACAATGTAATTGCCGCAAGGCCTGCGACTTTACAGTTTACAAATCCTATATTATTAATCGAAAATCTGTAGAGTCCTTACTAGAACCCAACTGCGTCATTTATATTTATTGTACTAATCTAATATTCAGAATGACCGAAGTACTAGGCTACGATTCTAATCAGCTGCTATCTGATATTGGTGGATCCTTAGGATTTTTATTGGGTAAGTTTCTTTAGTTTTATTTCTATTAAATTGATTAAATATAAATAATTTAATATAAATTTTACATAAACAAAAATTCGAATACAACGTTAAACTTGAGGAATGAATTTTAGGAATCTAAAAGGTTCTACTAAAACAGCAATAATAAAGTTATTTAGTAACGAGTGGGTGTCACCGTGGCTTGTTTTACATTCAACAAGACTTCACTGCATGCTTAAATTAGAAAATGTATAATGTACTGATGGATGTTACTTCAGGTTCCTTGAATTCGGTCGCAGAGGTCAACTAAGCTATTTGGTGGTTTAAAAATACCAATTCTCAAGCAACAATTCTGGTTCATCATTATTCTTAAATAAAAAAATGAAACATGTCATTACCATTTTAACGTTATTGCCAATGATCAGGCATTCGTAAGTATGGGGAGTCAGGGGAGTCCAGCGTAATTGGAGTAATAAGAACTCAACGACTAAGATGCTAGGGCACATACAGAGAATGTCAAAAGGTAGACTACCGTTAAGGTAGAGAATGCTACTGTCAAGTGCAGTGGGAGAATGTCAGAGAAGAAGGCGACCGAGAACAAGGTGGAAATGAATGTAGAAGATGGCCTAAAAAGGCTCAACGTTACAAATAGATAAAAGCAATGAACATGAAGAGATGTAGAAGAATAATGAATCAAGCCTACTAGGCTCGACGTGCTAATTATGATTATAACAATAAGATGGTTATAAGAGAGCCATTCGTAAAATAAGGTTCCCATTTATGCTTCAACTTGCTTCAACTTTTCTATCCCCATGTCCCCATATCCTTATGATACCGCGAATGCTTTAAGGAATCGAGTAACATCTTCTTTGACTGCATCATTGGTACTGTAACATAAGCCACTTAAGTGTTCCTTTAATGTTGGGAATCAGTGATAATCACTTGGTGCTAGGTCTGGACATAGGGGGTGGAGCACAACAGTCCAGTCCAGTAAAATCTCTTAGCAGTTGTTCTTTGATGTGAGACATGAGGTCGAGCGTTTTTATGAAGAAGCTTCACACCATTGAAGAATCGTCCTCACCGGCGGTTCTGGACATCCCAGTCTTTTTAATATCTTGCAATATGTGTCGAAGTTAACTGTTGTTACATGACGCAAAAAATCAATTAAAAGTAGGCCCTTTCTATCCCAAACGACGGCTTCCATTTCTTTCCCAGCACACTGCGTTTGCTTACACTTCCTCCTGAATAATTCTAATGAACTGCAACCGAACCACTCTCTCAAATTTCTTAGCCAGGATATTTTGCGTCGTCCTGGATTTCTCTTCCCTTGTGCCTTCCCTTGCATAATTAACCTTGCATAAGTAATACCTACTTCTCGCCCGTCATTTTATGACTCAGATATTGAATCTTTCTAATTTTAGCACTTTTTATGACTTCACATTCTTTCTTTATTCTTTGTAACACCTCTATATTAGTTACTTTTTCAGTCCACGATATTCTGTGGATTCTCCTGTAGCACCACATCTCAAAGGAGTTTAATTTTTTGATTTCAGACTGTTTTATTGTTCATGCTTCCATACCGTATACCAAAGTAGAAAAAACGTAACAACGTAGCATTCTTGTGCGGATCTCTAGATTAAGGTTACGGTTGCAAAGAAAGTTCTTCAATTTTATGAACGTGTTCCTTGCCACTTCTATTCTAGATCTGATTTCTTTCGTTTGATCTACATCTTCAGTTAGCCACGTTCCTAAATATTTATATGTTGGTACTCTTGCGATAGTTGTATTATTGATGATCCGGTTATCTACATTTTGTGGTTTTTTTGAGAATATCATTGATTTCGTTTTCTTGATATTCATTTGCACATGCATTGTATACATGATGTATTTTGTACTGTAGATCTTCCCTCACATGCACACACTTTATAATAGCCTAATTTTTCTGTTAATATTTGTTTGTTAATATGCAAACCAAGGTTGGTACTGGTGAACTTTCGATCTTCAAGCAATAGTCTTTAACTTTTTCGACAATTTCGTCTAAAACTAAAGGTCTTTCACTGTGATGCACTTTTCCTCATAAACTTTAAATACCTGATGATAATTGTCAATGGGTGAAATCCGTTTTGCAATAAATTTAAACAACGTATCACAGCACGAATTTCTGGCGGAAACAGCGATCGGAAGCTTCTTCTTTGAAGGCTGCTAAACCAGCGATAAGCAATGCAGCAAGTTAAGACTGGTGGGGTAAGAGAAAGAAAGAGTTATTGCGAAGACAGTGTTACCAGGTTTCTCTCAACTTGTCGCATTTTTTTTTCAGCGCCATAGAGAACCTTGTTTTAAGAATGAACCTCATATAAATTGGTTACGGTTTTTCTTTATTAATTATTCTGATCTTTTAGGTCTGTCAGTCATAAGCCTCATTTGCATAATCGAACAAATTTTCAAAATAATGTTTAGAATATTCTTCAAACGAAAAGTGAAAAAAGAGTTAGAGGCTCAGGAAATAGGAAGCACCAAAAACGAAGACACCAAAGAACGTGTTGAAAATATGGATATAATTAAAAATAATATTATATCTGACAAGAAAATAGATAATGAACAAGAACATATTTATAGTAATTTAAAAAATTTAGTTGTTGACTACAATGATTTCCAAAAGAATAGTTATTGTGAGCATAGTCCAAATGAAAATCAAAACCAAAAATATGTAAAATAAGTCACTGCAAAAAGTGTTCGATCACTAAGTGGCATAACAAAGAAAAATTAAATATTTAAAATTTTTGTTTTGTAAAACCAAATTATATCTCATGTTAATTATTATTGAGGTTCTTATTAATAAACGTTCTAAACTATAAATACCTTTCCCAATTTTAAATCCAAATTTGTATACCGTATGTCCTAAAAGTTTTGGAATAAAATGCATTGACTTTAATTTTAACAAAAACACAAAATTATCATGTTGTCTTTGAAAACAATAGTTTGTTTACTGTGATTTTGGAATGATTTAATTTAAAATTTTCGCTTTAAGATGACTTATCAATTAGAAATAAGATTTATGATGTCTGAATCTCCCAAAAACTGGAAGACTACGTGAATTTACTGCACAGACGTCAGAGAAATTGGTGATAAGAGCAAAAAGTAAGGTTGCAATATTATAGAGAAGACAGTCTCGTCAACACAGATCTTCTTAGGGTACGGCCAGGCTTGCGAGCGATTTTTCTTGAGAGATAAATCGTGGACGACTGAACTACAAAAAAATATTTCAAACCCACTAAACATTATTGGAGTGGCCACACCTAAAAAATCGCTTAGCGAAAAATCGCTCAGCGTCTAAGCATGTCGCTCTGTCTCCAATTCGGTTTGATTTCTAAGCGACTTTATAGTTCCATTTGGCTTTAAACTTAACAGCACGATAACTTGTTCCTATAAGAATAAGTTCCTGAATAAGTTTACTGACATATTTGGAAAGTATGTGCCTTTTTGATAAAGTAGAACTCAGGAGTAAAATACAACAGTTAGTATTTGACACATTTAAAGAAACCGTGAACCAAAAGCAGCCCGAACAACAGAAACAGCAGTTTTTATTCATCAGCAGCCACTGGTGCAACAGAAACAGCAGTTTGTAACGACACAGCAGCCACTGGTGCAACAGACACAGCAGTCTCATGAGCCTTTTTTATCTGAATATAATGAAACATTAACATATCATGAAATTTTGCCCTGTCAGGTATCACCAAAGTCACTACAACACAACTACTGCTCCATCGATATCGAAGAAAAGTTTAACGCAGGCTCTGACCGTATGTCTTTAAAATAGTGTTTTACTTACTATGTCATTAGAATAGTTTTTTATTAACTATAAAATAGTTTTTTGCTTGCCTTATTGTAACCACTAATCTTTCTTCAGTGATAATTGGTTTTCCAAAATTGGTAGTTTTCTTTCCAATACTTGGTTTAATTTTATTTAGGAGTAGGTCAAATGTGTTTATGCTCATTCTGAGGTACTGGAAAAATCTCTCTGGGTATTTTCGCAACTGTTTGTATATGCTTTCCTATATTTATTAATGGGATATACACTGTACACCATACTTCCTTTTGCTTTTTAATGAACACTCTATGAATGGATCATCTTCTAAAAGAAGAGCGATTCGACGTTTTCGTGTGAAAGGCATGACGAAAACTGATATTTGAATCGCTTTTCTGTGGACAGCTTCTCGCTTGTCGCCCGCTACATTGTCGTGAACCATTTATCTCGCGCGATAAATCGCTCGCAAGCCTGGACGTACACTAAAGTGACGTTCATACTCGAGCGATATCCGATAAGCGACATTTTATCGCCACGCTATATTACTAGGAAGGTTCAAAGAGAACAGACGGTACATCGCCACGACAGTACAATGATGGTGGAAGCACAATTATCTTGCTTAAGTGAGGAATACTTTCTAGTGGCTTATTGGTTTAGGCGTAGAATGACAAGAAAAAGAAAATACTGGGTACATTCTTACAATCTTATCAATGCGCACCATAGTTTGGCTGTTGTTTCCAGAAAGCTGTCTCAAAACGGATCAAAGTTCAAACAATTTTATCGAATGAAACTTAAAAATTTTCATTTTCTTAAAAGCTTAGTGTCAAGAACCCTTGAAAAAAAAGATACACACTTCAGGAAGGCTATTTCTCCAGATTAAAAACTTGTGATTACTATAAGGTAAGTAGATATGAATATAATCAGCAATTTAAATAAAATGTAGACGTTTTATTTTCAAATTTTTTTGTTATTATTGAAATAGTAATATTTTGATAGTTTTTTATAAATTGTACCACTCAGTTCCACTTTCTTCTAGCATTTTGGTAATCGAATTGAATTCCGAAGTTGCTGCAATATTATGCATGTAAGATTGAGTTTATTCGGTGTCATGTTGGGATGACAAACTCTATACAGATGAGCCAGAAGCAACTGAAATGCTGGATTCTACATCCTCCTGTTCATCTTCCTCTAACAACTTATGTAACAGAGACATTGTTTGTATTTTGAAAGTCCTCTTACGACGTAAACTAAGGTTTTTCAGATCAGGTAAAAGAGAATGAAGAAAATGCTGTTTACCATCTGGATCTTTATTATATTAACAGATATTTTTATTTTTAATCATTCTACAAAAGTGGTTTATTCCTTTTCGTTTTTTATATGTTTCATTTGAGTTTTTATGAGCAGGTTTTTCTATTAATGGCTCTGAAGAAGCTTCATCACGTTTTTCCTCCCCAATATGTCTCACTTCCATCATTTTGATTAGTATAGGACTTCTCTACTGCAGTATCTTGAACGTGAGTAGGATTTTCTTAGGTTTTTCCTTCTTTCAAATATGGTTGTTGATATTATGTTGATGTTAAAACAGGTTGTTTACGGTTTTTAATACATTATTTTTGATTAATTTATTTTTTTCTTCACGAATTATAAAATTTTTGTGATTAAGTATAATTTTTAAATATTCTAGTTCCCTTTTTAAGACATCTTCTTCAATATTATTCACATCTTCAGTAATTATGAGTTCAGCACTAGTCTCACTGTCAACCTTTAAATTTGAATCACTACAGATCATGCCTTGATCGACAATTTTTTCATTTTTCATTCTTCTAGCACAGCTGGGGTGAGCTAATAAGGCATAACAACAGATAAAAGAGGACTTAAAAAACATCAAGAAGGCAAGTCATAAAGAAAAACCGAAATCTCAAATGCGCTAAATTGAAATTAGGAGAGAAAAACATAGTAGCCAATAAAAATGAACAGAAAAAAGTAAATCTGATATAGCAATCTCAGTTAAAAAGTTCTACGCCGATCTGTATCTTTTCAGAACCGATCCCCCTAACTCCTCAAAGCAGAACTTGAAAAGGCAGATAACAAATTTGTGACGATAATATATTTTATCATTCATGCATAAACAATAACTATAATAACTACAGTATTACTGTAGAAACGTGCTCTGTGTTTCACTTAAATGTACAAAGTGTCACTAATAAGGTAGATGAATTAAATGCATTTTTTAAAGATAATAAGTATGACATTTTTTGTGTTTCGGAACACTGGTTAAATTCTGATAATTTACAAAGAATAAACTTGGACAATTTTCAACTTGTCACTTCATATTGTAGAGAAAGCAGACTACATGGAGGTGTAGCTATCTATGGTTCTAAACATATTCAACTTGAGCCTGTTGATTTAAACAAATTTTGTGATCCATTGAATGCTGAATTCTGTGGTGTTGAAATTAAAAATAATCGTTTTCTGATAATTGCACTTTATCGATCCTGTAATGGGGATATTACTGTTTTCAAAGCTAAGTTATACGCTTTAATTGATTTCGCCTTTAAAAAATATGAAAATATAATGATACTTGGTGACATTAACATAAATATGGAGGTAAACACAGGGCATGTTTGTGAAATACGAAATTTCTTAACCATGTACGGTTTAAAACATTTCATAAAAGCGCCCACAAGAGTGTCACTTACTTCAAGCTTTTGCCTTGATAATATATTTACTAATATTAATGAACAAAATTTAAATACAGGTGTCTACGATCCTGTAATATCTGATCATTTGGGTATATGTGCTATTGTGAGTGGTTTAAAAAATGTGTCTACAATTATAGAAAAGACTAAAAAAAGATTAATTAATGAAAAAAATATTAAGAATTTTGTGGAAAAAATTAACTCCAAAGATTGGACTGTGTTTGACGATATCCAATGTAATTCAAACAACATGACAGAGTTGTTTATGAAATATATGTGTGAAGAATACAACATTTGTTTTCCTTTAAAAAAACATGAATAGCAGAAAAAGTGCTATTCATTGGTTTAATCAGAAACTTCGAGATTTAAGAAAACAACTCTACGATTGTAAAGCAACATATAGAAAAACACATACTATTGACAATTGGATTAAATATTGTCAAATACGAAAAAAATATAAGCAAGCAATAAAAGCTGAAAAACGTACTGCTTATGCTAACATAATTAACAAATCCACCAACAAAAGTAAGACAATATGGAGTATTGTTAAAAAAGAAACCTATAAGGAACATACTACGTCTAATCTGAACTTAATACCAGAAGAAATTAACCAATACTTTACGAATATAGCAGATATTATATCGAAATCAATAGGAGACTCTGAGCATGACATAAACTACTATCTTAGCAGGCTACCTAGGTCAAGTTCGTTCTTTATGTCTCCAATAGTAGCATCTGATGTGAAAGAATGCATATACAAATTAAAAAATTCCTCATGTGTTGACTACTATGGTTTTAACAGTAAAATTATTAAGGAATCGCTTGATACAATTGTTGAACCACTCACAATAATATTTAACAAATGCATTAACGAGGGTTACTGGCCTGATGTATTCAAAATATCAAAAGTAATTCCACTTCATAAAAAAGGAAATAAAAATGCTCCTGACAATTACAGACCTATTACCATAGTACCAACAATAAGTAAAATTTTTGAAATCTTAATTAAAGATCGTATATCAAATTATTTGGATAACAAATCAATTATATCTAGCTCTCAATTTGGTTTTAGAAAAAAATACTCAACAACTAAAGCTTTATTAGAAGTAATAGAACATATTGTTCACGGTTTTGATGCAGGTGAACCTACTAATGGCTTAATGTGTGACCTTACAAAAGCTTTTGATTGTGTAGATATTCAAACACTATTGA